ACGATAAAAACAACAAAAAAACTTATTTGGAAAACCGTGTAAAAGCGAAAACGTGTAAAACAAGTACCGTGTAAATCGGGGGATAGGTGTACTGTGTTCCATTTTTGAGGACCAATCTACTTATGGATATAAAAAGGCGTCGACATGGAAAAATTCTGTGAAAGACTTTACACATTCTTAAGTTTAGCCAATGAGTGTATATTCAGCCATTTCATATCCTAGATTCTCTAATTTGACAAAGAAAAAAAAGGAGCGGTTTTAGGTACGGCGTCTTTCTCTCTTATATGAGGTTAAGTTTTGAATATCTTAGCCAATTGGCCTCTTATTTCTAAGCCTTAGTAGCGGCCATATTTTCCAGACTCTCTGTCAGTGGAAGTGTAGAAGTTTGTAAACATACGGGTGGGAATAGGAATAAGTGGTTTGATGTTTTTTTAGGATTGTTTCATCTCTGTTCTTGAGGATTTATCTCTTCTCTTCAACGGATGGCTTATTTCTATGTGTATACAATCTGTGAGGTGAGAACCGAACATACACTCTGTCTAATTAAAACTTGAATTTACACTCAGGGATAAAACTTAAGGAAATTTCATATATTGATGTCACCGGTTGTCTATCTTTTTTTTTTTTTGAAGGAGACAGAAGCAATCTTTTTCAAAAAGAAGTTAATTTGAGATTAATTTTTCCATGAGGAGTGTAACGTTTTCTATTTTTAGTTTTTGATATTTTTTTATATATACAATAAACTAAAAAATAGAATAAATACTCCAATCATATATTTATCAACCATTGCACATTTAACACAAAAAAAGGAAAACAAATGAAGAAAATAAAGAAGTTCTCCGTCAATGAGGTATCGCCTTTTTTTTTTCGCCAAATGATGCATACACTCATGGACATAACTTAGAAAGTAGAAAGTCTTTGATGTCGCCGGTCGTCTGTTTTTTTGAAAAGGACAGAGGCAATTTGGTTCATATTTAGTTATCTCGTGTGTGTTCAATAAAGGTTACTGTAATATCTTTCAAAGTTATTGTCTGAATCCCGATATACATGGTAAAAGATACAACTTCCTTAAGCTTTGTCCATAAGTGTATCTTTCAGAGTTATCGTCTGAATCACGATACACATGCTAAAAGGTACAACTTCCTTAAGTTTTGTTCATGAGTGTATAACAGACTCTACTCCCCCTCAGTAAAACCAACTTGTGAGTTTTATTCTTTACCTTTCATTTCCTCAGATGGACTCTTATAGGAATCACGGACTTCTCTCTTTTCAACTTTATTTAATCATCTACAATTAACCGTCTTTATTTTGCCTTCCTTAGAATCCCTGCTACCCCGGCACTGCGGAACGCTTGGGAATAAAACAAAAGGGAAATAAAAAAGTAATAAAAAAACCATTCTAATTGACAATCTCGACATTCGATGCACAACAGATGTATGCAAAATGCGACATTCTTTTTTTTTTTTTTTTTTGCTTACCCCTAGTACACGTGGTACAGGCCATGATAATCATGGTGGGTAGAAGTAGGCGACTGCTTTTACTGTAAATGCATCATTTGTCTACACATGTGAAAAGCAGTTAGACTTTGCACTTACAAATGTGCCAGAGTTTGGTTACTTCCACTCGCTGGTGGGGTTGGACTTTTGCAAGAATCGGGGGCCATTGGAGCATTTTTTTTTAAACATAAAAAAGTGCCCAATGCGGGAATCGAACCCGGGTCGTAGCGGTCAAAAACCAACGGTTTAGACCATCCTTCCACCGACCCCGACAATCTATGCATGGTGATTGGTTGTACCAAGGAAGTTTGTTGTCCAACCACAGGAAGGGATATCTGGTGTCTTTGATCTTATCTTTGAGATGGTCGAATTAGATAAGCAAGTTGATTAGCATGGGGAACAAACTTACGCAACACCAACGCCATGAAATTCTCAGAGTCTTCCACTAGATACAATCAATGTGTGACACATGGTAACATATTGCCTATACGTACACTGTAGGGGGTCGGTGGAAGGATGGTCTAAACCGTTGGTTTTTGACCGCTACGACCCGGGTTCGATTCCCGCATTGAGCAATTTTTTCTGATAAAAAAAAAAAAATGCTCCAATGGCCCCCGATTCTTGTAAAAGTTCAACCCCACCAGCGAGTGCAAGTAACTAAACAGGGCTCTGGCATTTTTGTAAGTGCAAAGTCGAACTGCTTTTCACATGTGTAGTCATGTGGTGCACTTAAAGTAAAAGCAGTCGCCAACTTCTACCTACCATGATTATCATGGTCTGTACCACGTGCACTAGGGATAAGCAAAAAAAAAAAAGTACACTGTTTTCCCCCTCCTACAATCTTTCTTGATCCTGGATTCCTACATGTAGCAGCTGAACCTACTAAAGAATTAAAGACTGTTGATGATTTTGATTTAAAATGTAGTTTTGTATGGTTGATGAGATATAGTCACAATGAAGATAAGATTCTTTTCCATGAGTGTATTTCAACTACGAGAAAGTAGAGCTTGTAAAAATTTATGATTGATCGTAAAAGAAAAAGAGATTTTTCACAGTTTCTGGTATTGTAAATATGTAATGATTTTTTATATGTATGGACGAGAATATTATGTTTGGTTAAATAGAGTCATTAGACAATTGATAATTAAAATAATTTTATTGACATCTTGTCAATACATGCAAAAGTGCATAGTCTGCACTATTTAAAAAAAATATTATTATATATTTATATACATGATACTATGTAAAATGAATATGGCGCCTCTGCCAGCGCTGCAGAGTTTGGTAGAGAATCACCAGCAGGTCTCCAGCGATACCACGTATTTCGCGATCTACGAAGAATACGTAGATCGCGTACTTCGCCACTGAGGAGATGGTGATGGCGTGGTCCTCGAGATCAACAGGAAAGATCCAGGACTGCAGGTCCGGCCGATTACAATCATTAGAAAAGTTAGATTTCAGTTTTGTTCAAGAACTCAGGTGCCATATAGAGATTTTATTATCCAAAGAAGAGAATGACTATAATAAAAGTTTCCAATCTGAACTTTGGCCCGAGAAAATTTGGTCTAATGATAAGCTAACACTTGAAAGCTAACCATTTTAACTTAAAAGAAACTTTTGTAATTATCCTGATAATGATTATTGTTTTGAAAATAGAGCAATCCATAGATAAATCTTTAATTAAAAAGGCATATATTGGCTCAAAATATCATTTATTTTACCAATATTTCATTTGGCTGAACGCCAACATTTTATAACATTTTAAAGTGTGTCAACAATAAACTCAGCGCCACATAACGTCAACAGCATTTAGTTTTTAAAAATATTCTGTTATATTCAATGGGAAGAAAAAATTGATATATATATTTTATATTATGGACAAAATAATTTTTGTAAAATATAGGTGTGAATATTTTGAAAATTAACAATAACGCCTATTTTATATTTTAAAATTATTTGTACTATGTGTAAAAAGAAATTTCATATAAAAATAAATAAAAAGAATAATTATTGTGTTTCAACTTTTGTGTAACTATGTAAAAAAATAGTACAAATGTGATGTTGTACTGGAATATATATGTACTGGGTATTTGGCCAATTCTGGAATAATTAAAAATCAATGAGAATAGTTGATATTTATTCCGATAGATGGTGCAAGCCATCAGAAACTTTCAATTGCACGATAAGGAGATGTCTTTTTCTTAATTTTGTAACTATATCAAGAATCAGAGTTTTGAGTGTCCAAAAAAGAGCAGTTTAAACGACCAAAACAATATTATATAGATATTCTTTTTGCAATCAGATTAGCTAATATATGTTAAGGCAAAAGATAACACAAGCTAAGTAACTGGGCAAAACCTTATATAAAAAAGAACGTATCTGTGAAAAAAATTTTTTTTTTTCTCAAAATATTACGAAGGATTTCGCACTCTTTATCAATGTATTGCAAAATAAACATAATTTACAAATTCTTGTAGATTACATGGAAACAATTTTTGTCATTGGTCAAAATTATTATTTATTATTCAACTCTTCGATTCTTTGATCTAGTAATACCTTTTTTATATAAATATATTTAATGGATCGACTTTTAACTGTGAAACATTTGTTTAAAAAATAACAGGTTTTCAGATATCATACATAAACATAAAAAAATTGTCATTAGATAAGTTTTTTTTTCCTGATAGGATCAAGGTCTTACTTGCTTTTTTACTTTACAAATGCACATTCCTGAAGTTCTTTTTTTTTTCTTCTTCTTTTTCTTCTTGGAATCTCTAAACAATAATGATTCCTAGCACCCAAGCCAGATACCATCAATGTCCACAATTAGGTAAAGAAATTTTTATTTCCTTCCAACAAGTTTGTAAAAAAAAAAAATTATCGCGGCCAATCAATGACTAATTTAAATGTAAAATAAGCCATGTAGGATTTATCATCATTAAATGTTCACAAAAAACCGTGGAGAATTTGTACATGGGAAATTTGTTGACAAATTTTTAACCTTTTTTGCATTGCTTGTAAAGTGATATCAGTACACCTATCCCCCGATTTACACGGTACTTGTTTTACACGTTTTCGCTTTTATACGGTTTTCCAAATAATTTTGTTTTTTGTTTTTATCGCACTATACTAAATGCTACTGTGATTGAACACATGCGCTGTGTACACATCTCACGGGGAATCACGAGCTTATGTGCTGACTACATATTTTAACCTGTCAATGCATTTTATTTTTATTTCTGTGTACACCTATCCCCCGATTTACTAGTTTTTCTCAGGAACGTATCTACCGTGTAAATCGGTAATAGGTGTATATATAGAATAAGACCTTTCTTTTGATTTCATATCTTCATCAATTTATACATTCTATTCTATATATTTTATTCATTATTCTTTATAAACATTTTGACCATTCATTTTTATCATGTCATTGTCTTCTTTTAAATTAATATATGTTTCTTTTAGTTATTTCTTAAAATAATGTAAATATTGTAATAAACACCAGTTTAGGAAAATTTAGCCTAGTGGACATGGCATCTGCCCGGTAAGCGGAACACTGTGGGTTCGATTCCCATCCCTGGACTCTTTTATTTTTACGTTTATCATTACTCTTCACAATTCATCCTTTCATACCTCATTCCTAAGGTTAGAAATAATCGTTATTTCCCCTTATAATAAATTTTGATTTTTCGTTGAAAAGAAACTCATGCGGGATAATTTTCAAATGTCGTTTTACAATCACAAGCCGCATTATATTGTATTGTATTATAAATTACTTTATGTATTACTTACGAACGGAAAATATGTCCAGGGTAGCCTAGTGGACATGGCATCTGCCCGGTAAGCGGAACACTGTGGGTTCGATTCCCATCCCTGGATACTTTTATTTTTCCGTTTATCATTACTCTTCACAATTCATCTTTTCATACTTCATTCCTAAGGTTAGAAATAATCGTTATTTTTCCTTAAAATAAATTTTGATTTTTCGATGAAAAGAAACTCATGCGGGATAATTTTCAAATGTCGTTTTAAAAATCCAATCTGTTTACCTGCATACCTATATATCATCACCAGTAAAGTTTTTTTACCAGGGTGATGTACAGTGCCATCGTTCTGATGTACATAATTAAAGGGAGAGGTGCCTTTATAGGTACATGAATATCATCCTCCCGTAACTTTATGTTATAGGTTTGAATATATGGAGAGAGATTGAGATTGAAACTGATTAATTACAATGGTTATATAAGATTATATAAAGTTAAATACAGAATAAATATAAATAAATAAGATTGTAAAATGATAAATATACGAATAAATAGATATAAATATTTTAGATAAATATACATATATCTTCTATATATATAAAAATGAATGTTTGTATGTTTGTCTGTTTGTTTGTTGGTTTGTATGTCCGGTATACAAATTCGCAGTAGTTCACTAATTCAAACCAAAATTTCCATACATAGGTAAAAAAAACGGGGAAGACGATAGGCTATTTTAAAAAATATATAAATCAATTATTAAAATTATATATTTTAAGTCAGAAAATGATGATGACGATATTGCTGTATCATGTTTGATTATTAGATACATAATTATATCGGGAAAAATTCCAAAAAGCAGAGACCACGGGTGAAACCAGTTCATTATTTTGTACGCAGGAACAAAATTCTAACAGAAAAACATTCATTCGAGCAGAAAACAAAAGCCAGATCATCTTTCTATAAAATATATCGCTTCTCAGACACAAAGTTTGGAGCGGGGCGTTGCACAAAAGTGACATCCACGGTGCCAATTTATAATTGTAACGAATATTATTTGAATAAAAACATTTAATCGGGTAAAACCCGGGCGTTGCCCGGGTTATTCGGCTTGTATATAATATATATACAAGGTCTTCATTGGTGGCGCCCACCGCGGGAAAGACTCCGCCACCGATGGACTGCGAGAGTTCACAGAGTGTCGATGTGATGGCTGGTGTTATCCACCTCAAGACCAAGATGGTACTTGTAGATGGTAGCTACACTTGTGATATTTATCGCCTCGGGATGGAGGCCGACGCCGAAGAGAGAGAAATAGGCTTATAGTGAGTTAAAGATGAGTGAAGGTAGTTCGAAGATAATGAGAATTATGAAAGAACTTGTGTTAGAGTTTAATTTATTATAACTCTGTGTATATATGTTTTATTAGATTTGACCACGAGTGCCTGGTCACGTGTGTATGAATTTATTGTATAAATAGTGTGTTTGAGAATAAAGTGTATGTTGACTTGGAACTGTGTGAGACTGGTGTTTTCACAGTAGTTTAGCTCGGTAGACTCGCTTCATTTTGAGACAAGACCTTGGCGCTGACTATACCTCTGGGCGGAAGAGTGAAAAGTGAACAAGAAGAACCAGCCAGAAAGAAGATCGGCGAACATTTTGGTCCCTCTACATCCGGATATAGGCTAGGTTCAAGTTTAAAGAAGTTTAAGAAACCTAAGAGGTTTAAATAAGTTTAAGAAACCTAAGAGGTTTAAAGAAGTTTAAGAAACCTAAGAGGTTTAAAGAAGTTTAAGAAACCTAGAGGTTTAAAGGTTTAAGAAGTTTAAAGAAGTTAAAGTAATAGAAGAAAGAATCAAGGCCTATGCAAATTTAAGCAATCGTAGAAAAAAGAAGAATTTATGCAAATAAAGTTTTGCAAAAAAGGTTATGCAAAAAAGGTTTTTAGGAAAGTTTTGTAAATTGGATTAAAAAGGAAAAGGCCGAGGTATAGAGCGTCAAGCAATAATTCAAGTTAAGATCAAAGGGCAAGTCTAAGCCATGAAGCGGGCATTAAGAAGTAGAGCCGCTCAAAGAACGATTATATCCAAGTTGATTAAAAGGGCAGAAGCGGAGTTGGATGAAGAAACTCCTTCTGAAATTACGATAAGAACGAGCTATAAACTCATCGAAAAGTATATGGCAAATCTTCAGGATGAAGATAAGTTGATCTGGAAGTTGATGCTAGAAGGTAAGGAAATTGATTACAAGGTACGAGAGGAAGAGAAGGACACAGTGATCCAGTATGATCAGAAGTGGATGGGTCTTGAGATTAAGATAAATAATTTCCTCAGCTCTCTGATGAAGGATACGGAAGCCCTCCATGGTGCTAGTTCGAAAAAGGGCTCGCAGCCTGGAACCAGAGTATGCCGATTGCCCAACTTGGATTTGAAGATCTGCGATGGAAGCAGTTTAGAAGGTGGGATGAGTGAGAAGCCAAGTGTTGTCGGAGTTACCCTGATGAAAGGAGTTGATCCAGCTTCTATTAAGGAAGATGCTGGGATTGTGGTATTATCCGAGCAAATGGTAGAAGAGACATCCACGCAGATTGCCGTTGAAGAAAGTCATAGGGCTCAAGTTGAGAAAAGGCAGTTGGCTGAAAAAAGTAAAAATGCTCAAGTTAAGAAGAAGTCTGTTGTAGAAGTTGATGAAAGTAATAGGGCTGAAATTGAGAAAAAATCCGTTGAAGCAGATGAGGAGAAAGGGCTGGATGTGGAACCAGGAATGGATTCAAAGAACACTGAAGAAGTGGAGCTGCTAGATGCAGAACAAGGTACTGATTCAAAGATAGCAGAAAGGCTAGATGCAGAACAAGGCACCGATTCAAAGGTAGCAGACAAGTTAGATGCAAAACAAGATATCGATTCAAAGGTAGCAGAAAAGCTAGATGCAGAACAAGGTACCGATTCAAAGGTAGCAGAAAAGTTAGATGCAGAACAAGGTACCGATTCAAAGGTAGCAGAAAAATTAGATGCAGAACAAGGTACCGATTCAAAGGTGGCGGAAAGGCAAGACGCAGATTTAGAGAATGAGAAAGACTCAGAAGCTGAAACCAAGGACAATGAAGTAGGGGATTCTGAGACTGCTGTTAAAGGTTATGAATCGGTGAGCAATTCTAAAGCAGTAGCTGACGGCGATGATCAAGTGGAGATTTCAGATGGTAAAGCTGAGTCCATTGATGATATTGAGGAAAGAGTTGTCAGAGTTCCACCATCGAGGAAATTGGTGGAAGCGGGACAAACTGGAGATGCGGAATTTAAGGTAACAGGATACTATTTGCCTGATCGCCCTGTATTTGAGTGTGGGTCCAGAGCGACGCCTAAACGGCCAGTATTTGACGACGCTTCCTGTCGAGGACGAAACGGATTCTCGTTGAAGCGATATTTGACCAGGAGACCCAGTCTATTGAGAGGAATCCCTGAGATAGGGATAAAACTTCGGAAGAATAAGTTCGGAGTTGTAGCCGACCTGAAAAGATATTTTCGGATGATCGCCATTAAGGAAAGTGATTGGGACTACCTTAGATTTCTTTGGAAGAAAAGGATGGACAACTGATGGTGCAATGATGCAAAGGTTGGAGAAAGTGAGGCGCTTTCTAAACAGGGTTGTACCATCCAGATCACCTATGTGAAGAGAGAACCAATAGAAAAAGGTTCAATTGGCAAATATCTTCCAAACAATAAGATGCAACTTGTATCGAAGGAAACTGTTTCTGGAGCTGTTATAACGCCAATGTTATACTCCGGCCAGTTCTCCAAAGGAGCAAGTGCCTACTCCAGCGAAAGGTCTTAATTTGGGAGACAAGTCTCCAGAAAAGTCTGGTAAAGGTGCTAGACTGGAAAGGATTGCGAATCTTGTAGATTATAGGACTATTATATTGAGCGGTTTGAGATCTCTAAAGAAGATTTCAGAGTCCTATGACAGCTCTAAGCCTGCAGACGATACCTCTGAGCCTTCAGACGATACCTCTGAGCCTGCAGACGATGCCTTAGCATCAGATCCTGATTCTTCAGAAGGTAAAGCTCAAGGTTCTCAAGAGGTTCCAGGGATTGCAGTGGAGGATTCTGACGAAAGGTCTGCAATTGAGGATTCTCAACCTTCAGAGCCTCTTGATGCGGAGGGTTCTGGAGTGGAGGCTTCAAGCGATGTAGAGGTAAGAGCTCAAACAAGGAGCCCTAAAGCCATATCTTCCAAAATACCTTGCATGAAGAAAGAAGAATCCAGCATAGACTTGGAAGAGGAAGACATTGGAAGAAACGAACCCTCTCCAGCCTCAATCACCTTCAAAGCCCTAGAGACCACAGATTCTAAAGAAGTTGATCTGACGATTTTGGGCAACTTTGCGAGAGAACATTGCGCAAAAGGGATTGCATTTGAACAGTCCAATGTTATAAGGACATTGGGTTTGGGATGGATCCAAGGTGAGGACTGTTTCTTATATGGAGTTCAGTCGTTGGAAAGGACATCGGCGACTACCACGAGCGAAATGCCTTCCTTCATCGCCAAGTTAGAGGATCCCTTAAGATGGTTGGCACCTGTCCTTGTAACAGGAAAAATAATGGTTCAAGGTTTTGGATAACGGAATTACATTGGGATGATCCGATGGATGAATCATTGATTGAAACATGGACTAATATAAGAAAGGAGCTGAATTTCCTAAGAAGTTTGAGATTACCCGATGATTGGGTCTCGGAAGGAATACCCAGGGAATGCAGTTGCATGGATTCGGTGATGCCTCCGAAGATGCCTATGCGGCAGCTGATTAGATAAGAATTCCCACAGAT